GATGTCGGCCCATCACTCGTGCGGGAGACCGTTAAACATAATACTTGCTCAACCCTTCAGTTGATTACCGGTAGTTGACGATGTCACAAGGATTCTCATCTTGGGAGGAATTGTTCGAATGATGGATTGGTAGCTCAAAATCGCACTTACTCTCTTTTATGGAGCATACAAGGGCATAATAGATTTAAAGAGAAATCAATGGATTTCATCCAAGGAACTTATTCGGTTCAAACAAATGAGACAAAATGTTGCATCCGATTACAACCTCGACTATGCCATAAGTTAGTAGGTAACCCACTAGCCTAGTCGGGCTAAGTCCACTAGAGGAATATCCACGCCTCCGCCAAAAATACTATTAGCAGAGTCCACACTGAATGTTTCCTCAGGGTCATCTCTTTACCACGCCACTTTTCGGCGTTTCCAGATCTTCAGTTTTGTTATCCTTGCTTCACGGTGCGCACGCTAGTAGCTCTCCTTGGAGTCGTATATCTTCCTCTTGTTCTTTCATATCTTACTGAGCACGAAGGTCCTATTGGAATCAACGCTTGACACGCTCTTGGTATCAATAGTACTCATCTAACAAGCATGTAAAGTCAAACTTTAACCAAATGAGCACATAACATAATTACCTTCCGGAGACGGGAGACGATTCTAGGATGCAAATGCAGTTTTGAAAAAGCATGTTTTCAAATGGTCAGAAGACCGAATTTAAAACCTTTTCTCTGATACCAAAATGTAACACCCCAATTCGTATAACCCGGAATTATATGAATTAAAGTGAAACTGGAGAAATATTTTTAAAATATTTCCAAATCATTAAATAAAATTCATAAAACAAAAATTTAAAATATAACATATTAAATTCGGAACGATCCTTTTACAAAATGTCAGAGATAACGGAAGACTTAATTAATACAAATACAATGATGTGGGTCAAGCCCCAAGACTTCAAATGCATTACTTGTGAAAATCATGCATGTCAACCTGCCATCCTATCGTCTCTTCGTCCTCCGGGTGGTTCACATGACCTGTGCTTCAACCTACGTGTAGACAAAAAGACTACACGCTCAGCATAAAGCTGAGTGGTACGATGACGCGAGAGATCGATAACATATTTATACTTAAATACCATGCATCACATTAGCCACATAATTTTCATGCTTGCATAGTAGATAGCTCAATATACAAGAAACACATATACATATCATGGAGATTCATTTTGGAATATTATCCAAACATAAATACCTTGGCCTTGTCATTGACGATGTTGGATATGAAGTGCGGTACATTTTGCCATACCACACACAATTTGATAATTTCGATTTGTATAATTACTTACAAGCGATGCAATGTCAAATGATTCATGATGCATGAGTTAGACTGCGCAGGGACCCCCTGCCCTTCGGTGATCATCCCCACGCGGTAGATGAGCCGAGGAACGCCTTAGTCTCCCCGATTGAGACTAGAAATGTGGGTGATAGCTGAAGCCTAGCTACCATGTACGTACACAAGCCCTCGTGATGAAAACCCGTTGGATCCCGTAGGTTCCTGGACGGGCCCGCGGAAGAGGCGCACTAGGCCTGACCTCTTGTCGCGGTATGCAAAGTATGCCATGATCCTACACATGCGTCTAGGATATACATGATGATATGAATGCATTGCTTGATGAATGGGGTTAAGTTCAACGCACACATATAAGTTTAATTCTGTATGATAACGATTTGTTCTATATGATGGCCTTGGGTTCAGAACTAGCTGATAATCGATTATCCATTGTTGATAATCGATTATCATGCTGTGCAGCTTCTGTTCCCAAAGTTCTGCAGACTGTTATAGCCGATAGTCACCTTATGACAATCGATTGTCTTGTTGGTTTGTCAAAGAAACCCAAGTTCATAGAGGCCTGACTTATGATCCCGAAGGCTTATATTGAAAGCTAAGTATCGGTTTTTAATCCATATTTCACCTGTTGATTCTCACCTTGAAAGTATTTTGATTTCGGAACTTTCTAAAAATTCAGCAGCCCCTGATAATCGATTATCACTTGTTGATAATCAATTATCAAACTTCTGCAGCCTCTGATAATCGATTATCACCCAGTGATAATCGACTATCAAATGTTCCGCAGCCTCTAATTGTCGATTGTCACTTTGTGATAATCGACTGTCAGAGTTCAGCAGCACCTGATAGTAGATTTTCAGAATTTGACAGCCTACTATCACAGTACTCGGGTTCTACTTTGGTCTATCGAATTACGTTCAACCTTTTGAAAATTATAATGAACATGTAAGATTTACAAATATATCTAAATATTGAGTTCCTCTAAATTCCAAATGGATTTCTAGATGATTTCTTTTTCAACGAGTTTCATATCATATAGCTTTATAGTGAGAAAACTACGATCATACGGTTTCAACGAAGGTTATGCCAAGTAGTAGAGCATATAAAGCAACAAATACACATTCATTCATACATGTACAACACATATATTTGGGCATGGATTTACGTGTTCATGTAATCATCTAAATATGGTCTAGGTGTTTTCCAACTTGTTCATTCACATGTCAAATGTATACACATATACGTATCTAGTGATGCTATTACGATATTCATTGGTATTTCCTCAAGCCTAAACATATTCTTCATAATCTAACCGTTCTTCCACTTTTATTTCACAATCCTTATTGTTTACATTTGAGTCAAACATCCGTTTAGCCTTGAATAATCATACAATTTCATAACGGTTTGTAATCCTCGTTATTCTCTACGCAACGTTAATAGATCAAGAATATAACATGATATGAATATATATATATATATATATATATATATATATATATACAAATAATCATATAAATAACAAACGTATTCGCATATAAATATATTAAAGATTCCTTCGTTATATCTAGGGTGTACATACCTTGGATACGACACAACGTTAGAAGGGACTGAATGAATCAACGTCAACGAACGGTTGTCAAACCGTTGACCTTCCGACTTCCCGACGGCTTCTTGAGTTCCTTTTCTTCTCGAGAATATGTTATACGGGTTGTGAAGAGTCGGCACGCATTCAACGAGTAGCGAATTGGATGGGACGAAACGAGAACGGAGGCGGAAGTTGCAAACCTCGCGTTTTCCGTCGCCGCTGCACCAGTTTTGGTAAAACGGCCGTATCTACTTCGTTACTCGTCCGATTGACGAACCGTTTGTGGCTATGGCTTCCTAACTCGCAGGGCTACAACTCTGGTCAAGAAACCACGACCAAACAGCGAGTTTAAGATGGTCTAAATTCAGCCCAAAGTGGGCTGACGGGATTTGTTATCCAAAAATCAGCACCTCCTTCGTCTTCTCGTCCTTCTCCTTCTTTCTCTTTGCCGGAGCTCCGTCGTCTCCTGGGATTCTACTGGCCGGCATCCATAAGGAAGAGGGAGAGAGGGAGTTGGATGGTTGGTGGGTTACAAAATGATGGAGGAATGGAAGGAGAGGAGTGGATTTAGAATGATGGGGAGTAATGGTGGTGAGGTGGAGAATTAAAGATGTGAATGAATGTAGAGATATGGGAGGGGAAGCGTGAGGTTTTAATTAGGGAGTTACCTCCCTAAATTCCACTCCGTTGTGTAAAGTCTGACCTGAACGGTACACGGTTTTTCCCCCGAACTTGCCCGAATTGAGAACTGATTGCATTTTCGGAAATAACCAGTCAAAACTAAATTTATGATATCTTGAAAATAGTTTTTCTAAAAACTTTATTTTCAAACTTCCGAGTCAATCCCAATCATTAATTGATTAAATTTAATTAATTAATGTTGAGAGGCCCGTTATTAAAATACATTAACTTTGGAAGCCCATTTAATGAGATCGAAATCTCAATATTTATTACTTAAAATAATGAGTCTCAATAAATAAATAATATTTATTTATTTAAAATATTGGCTAAATATTAGGCCGGTTTGTGGGGCGTTATAGTTCACGCTATAATTCAACATGTGATAAAATCATTTACTCAAATAGTAAGTTTTTGCACGTCCACGCATCGCCTCCATCTCAGTATCCTCTAGAATAGGCTCCACATTTTATTATCTCTCATACCTACATGTAGAAAGATGAAAAAATCTACATGCTCAAAAATGAAGCTTAGTGGTACCATGACACAACAAAAGAATTCACATAATAATTTCTTTCGCGATGTCAATTACATATATATGTTGAAACATTCACTTTTTTTATATTTAAAACCATCTTTGTTATTTTGTAACGAATATAGTCAATTCAAAAATATCCTTTATCCAACTTTGAATAGATGCTAATCCTCAGTTTACACTACGTGTCATTTTAGTTATCACAATATTCATCATTTGTCGTACATAATATTATATCCAAATTTGTCATAAATAATTATTTTCAACTCCTTCTAGGCTAAGGCCAAATCATAACAATGCTCTTAAACTATTCTTAGTGTAAGGCCAAATCTAAACAATGCTCTAAGGCTAATCGATGACCTATCTTATGAGTCTTATAAGTCACGCTCTAAACCGCACAGTGGTGATCTGCTCACCATCGGGTTGGGTGGTACCCCCTAAACTAGTAGATACTCAAGTTTGATTTGTGGATCTCATACGTAGGTTTTAACCCTGGGCACCGGACATCATACCCCATGGCCTAACTAAATTGGTCACATGGAGTCTACCTTAGAATTCTTCTAAATAGCCCTTAGATAGTCATAATCATTATTTAAATCAGGATATTCACACAAACATATTTAATCACAACTATCATACGGTCTATTCATTCATAAATATATTTTCATATTTAATCATGATAAGATTATCGTCATTGTTATATAATCATATTTATCACAATATTTAATACTCATTGGTTGATCAAGATATAATCATTTTGTCATTATATAATTATATTTACAGAGGCATAATCAATATTAATCATCATGATGCAACATTTAACGACAAAGAACAGCATAGCGCCAAGCGTTATCACTATAGCTTACCGTCATGCATCATTTTAAGTATTAGATTCAACCAAAATATAATCTTTTAACTTGGCAATGATAACTATACTGACTTAATGTTGAAAAGTAACAAAATAGGATTTTAGAGATTTCAATTTCGGAATTTATAATACAAAAATTCACTTAGACGGTCGACCGTTTCTAGGAGACGGCCTACCAATCCGCTATTGCATTTCAACCATGTCAAATGAATTCCAACCTATGTCCCTTGAAGAGCTTGTTGCATCCAACATAGCCTTGAAGGCCCAAGTAGAGTACTTGGCCAGAGAGGTAGCCAAGCTGACAAAGCTTAAACTCAACATGTTCCAAGGAAGTGATCATGATGATGATGCTAGTACTAGTGGCATCATAAAAACCAAGACCCAAACCAATGAAACTTCTGACTTCAAAGTTGACATCCCAACTTTTGAAGGAAAGAACGACCCGGACGAGTTTCTAGAATGGCTAGAGACAGTAGAACGCATCTTCCACTTCAAAGAAATTTCTAATGAGAAGAAGGTCAAGATAGGGGCCTTGAAGTTCCGCAAGTATGCGTCCACTTAGTAGACCAACACATGCACCAAGAGAAAAAGAAACAATAAGGAACCGGCAGCTACATGGGCCAAGATGAGGTCTCTCTTGAAGAAGAAGTTCGTGCCCGCTGAATATGTTAGTGAGAATTTTTGGTTTCAAACGCTTAAGGAAGGGTCGAAATCCGTTGAAGAATACAACCGTGAGTTTGAGGAACTCTTGTTAAGGTGTGATTTGCAAGAAGATGATGAGCAAACCTTTGTATAATAGCTATTTAGCTTAAACTTACAAATAGCCAATACAGTAGAGTTACAAAGCTATGAATCCCTAGAAGAGCTTACCAAACTAGCCCTCAAAGTTGAAGCTCAACTCAAGAAGGGCAAGTCCCCCTTGAACCATTCAATTCCACCACATCACAGCCAACCAAATTTCACCCCCTTACTGTCCAAAATACCACGGCCCCCTCAAGGCAAAACACCAAAACCGTGCAGCCCATTTCTTTACCCAATACTCCACCTCTTTTAAAGCCTAGTACGTCAAGTAACCGAGTCCAAAAATGCTTTTGTTGCCACGACATTAGTCACTATGTTAGTGACTATCCAAACAAGAAGATCATGGCTATCGTTGAGTATGAAGATGAAGAAGTGAATACATTTTGGGTTCAGGAAGAGCCGAAGGAAGAGGAAGAAGTTGTCAGCCCCGACGAAGGTGAACTTTTGGTCATTCAGAAGACCATTAGTCATGCGGCTGCCCAAGATATACCACACACTGAGAGAGTATTTTTCATGCTTGTTTCACCATTCAAAAGAAGGTGTGTTCAATGATCATCGAAAGCGGGAGTAGTGCCAACGTTGCTTCCAAAATAGCGGTGGAAAAACTCAATTTAAAGGCGATGCCACATCCGAAGCCTTATGAGATTCAATGGTTAAATCTTGATGAAGGAGTACGCGTGAATACACGTAGCTCGGTCTCGTTTAGCATGGGTAAGTCCTTCCATGATGAGGTGTGGTGTGATATCATACCTATGAGAGCTTGTCATATTCTTCTCCGAAGGTCATGGCTATATGATCGGAGAGTTACCTACGATAGTTTCACCAACTCGTATTCATTTGTGATGGATACAAGGAGACTCACTCTTGTTCCGATAATACCACCTACCCAACTGTCCCAGGCACAATATCCATCCATACTTTCCATCTTTATCAAGTCCAAATATTCAAGACCCAAAGAGTTACCCCATGAACCACTGTTAGAGCCAAACCAACCCTTGTGCCTTGTTGAAAACCCCTGAAACGAACCCTTTTGTGAAAAGAGAAACCATGGAAGCAAGTTAATACTAATGGCCTTGAGTGCCAATGTTTGTATGTATCATTTGCAGGGATTCCATGAAGGTACGCGTGGGAGAAAGAATGCTCATTTTGAGTGTGCAAAGTTGCATTTCCAAATTTCCCTTTCCCAAGAGCCAAAGTAAAGAGTGTTCAAAGATGAGATTCAAACGTGATTGAGTCCCGCCCTGAAGATGAACTCAAAGAAAATTTGAGTTTGAGGGCAAACTCTCTCGAAGAAGGGAAGGATTTTAGATATCCGGGAGCATCCCTTGAGACTTTCCTTAGTTCACAAAAGGAAATACAAATCAGGGAAATGAAGCCAAAGCATTGTGGCTTTACTTAGGTTGAAATATTCCTTTTTCAAATTTTAAAACCCTCTATGTTCCAATATCCGATAAGCGCTTCACATTATAGTTCTTTGGTTGTTGCTTACTTTTTATACAAGTGAGGAGCCTGTTCCCGCTTGTTCAGACGTTTGTATTCTTTGATTATTTAATAAAATGCAAAAAAAACAAAAAACAAAAAAAATAAAAAAAAAACCAAATTAACACCCATGTTACCCTACACCCCACCTAGGGCTGAACCCCCTCCCCCCTCTCCAATACCTCTCCCCAAACATCCAAAACACCTTGTTCTTTAATTCCGTTCAAAATAAAGTTTTCCGTCACTTATTTTTAGCCCATGGTCGAAAATAAGAGTGTGTGAACCAAAACCTTTTGTTTGTTGTTATTTTCTTTCTTTTAAGCCTTGTAATAAACAAATAAAACCTTCCATTCCTTCCTTTCATTTCCTGGCCAAAATATAATTCAGAACCCCAAACAACACCCACAAAGATCCAAAACCCTGACCCACCACCAGCCCCTACTTTCTGCCCATGTTCCCTCACAAATAACCCTAACCCATAAGTTCGAAACCACCCATGATATTACCCAGCCCTGTCCATCTTTATTGACCAAAAAACCCCCCCATTTTTACCCAATTAATAACCACAAAACCCAGGAAACAACCACTACAAACCCAAAGCTCAAAGTCTGACAACCTCAGCCCCATCCCTGATTTTATTCCACTAAGTAGACAAAATTGAATGAACATTACCCCATGCTTTGGAAATGAATGTTGCTAGGAAGCTTCCTCTTGTTCACATTCATTGTATTGTGTATTATTTTCCCCTTCCCCTCTCCCAAATAATGTAGCCTTGGGGCAATGTGCAGGAACACAATTGAATGATATTAAAACCTTTTACTCTTTGAGTACTCTTAAAATAGTGTAATGCTATTTTAGCCAAATTCCTAATTGTAATCTTAAGAGTGTTTATCTTAAGTGTGAGTTTTAGGTCTTACATATTTGATTAAGTGTGCCATATCTTAATTAAATTCTAAATTCAAACCCCTAGTTAAGATAAGGGTGTGTAATATCTCTTAACACCAACTTGGTTTTATCCATCCCTCATTTTTTTTCCATTATATCTCTTCTTTTCTTCTTCTTAACCTTACTCTTTTCTTCCATTACAAACACCAAAAAGAACTCTTTCATCATCTCCAAATTTCTCCAGTCATTCCCCACACATACACCATCATCTTCTGTCCATATTTTGGATCCTGGTAACCTTGATAATCAATTATCAAACTCAGATAATCGACTATCGTACCCTTTTGAATTTCCTTAGATAAACAGTGCAACCCAATAATCGATTATCACAAAAGTGATGATCGGCTATCTGCCGTCCTTGAAGCTTCTTGGTTTAGCCGCACCATTACATAATCGATTGTCAAAAGGCAATAATAGATTATTGAGTGTTCTTGAACTTTGAACTCCAAAACTGCGCCAGTTTAGTTGCCTACTCCCTTTCCTCACCCCCTTTACTCCTCAAAAGAACAATTTGATTATACCCCGAGTCTCGGGTATAACATAGAGCTATAACTTTTGTAAAGAAACTTTGTTAAAATAATGAAGTTAAATTGGTCTAATATAGATCACAAGTGGACTGATATGTACTGCCAAGGTTTCAAATATTAAGATGAACGACGATTACGACGATCAACTTATCAACTTCAAGATTCCTTAGTAAAACCTTCCCTCCAACACCTTCTAGAGGTTCCTAATAATGGTTAGAGAGTTTATGATAAGTGGCTTGAAATAATAAAGTGAATATGTGAAAAGACTTAGCCAAACCCAAGGAGTTCACCATCACTGGCACTGTCCCGGTATTTTGGTCATATCTCCTTCGTTTCTCCACAGAATTACAAATAATTTATTGCTTTGGATTCATACGAAACGAGCTACAACTTTGATGAAGAAAGTAATATGAAATAATATTTAGAAAATTACAGAATTTTTGTAGAAGTGGCTACTGCATTTTGAACTCGGGATTTTGGAAGTTTGGATGATTTCTTTTGTCTTCTTCTTCCTTAGCACAACAATAGAGTTTGTGAAGTATTTCCTTCCATGGCTGCTGGTTTACACGAGAGGAAGAGGGGTGAGATGAGGGAGTTGAGTGTTGAAGTTGAAGATGAGAATGATGACGGTGACTATAGTGGAAATATTATATAAGGAAGTTTGGCTCCATTAGGTTAATGGGATGAATAAGGTGGCTAGTTGAAGACTTTGGGAGCAAGTTGGAGATTCGTGAAGTCCCCCCAAAGATGCTCCGTGATCATGGGGTGGATTTGAGAATTAGAGTTTTGGCTTTTAGCCAAAACTGAACAGTTTACCCCAAACGGTATGCGTTCTTTCGTCCAAGCTATTCCGAATAGAAAATGGATCACATTTTTGGAATCAGTTTGACGTAATAAAAATAATTTTTTGAAAAGTTTTATTTTTTTAGCTTTTGGGTATGTCTTAGTCATACTATTATTTAATAATATGAATGAGATAAAAATATATCAATTAAATCCAGATGATGAATATGGTATTCTTAGGTATCAAAAGATAAGATTTACAATTTTATGAAATTACTTTTGAATTGAGTTAAACTTATGTGTCAAAGTTACAAATGTTAATACTCTAAAATCATCATAACTTGAAATCTGTAAATCTGATTGGTTTATAAAATGTACCGTTAAATTTTTCCCTTCGAGAGCTATCTATAAAAATAAGTCTTTAACAAAAAGTCATTATTTTGAAAATCCTTTTTTTCAAAGATATAAGTAGTGTTTATTGGACCAAAATGTTTAGAAAATACTATAAATTTTAGGCCATATTTCGTGGCATACATTTCTTTCCCTTTTAAAGAAATTTCGTCCCCGAAATTTCCTTAAGTGAAAAGTCATTTAAAACGATGATATACAGAATAATGAATATCCATTATTTTTGTAAAACACTAATTTGGAAAATTTATTTGTACCTCCTTTGTTGAGTATCATGATTATGACATGTTGATGTACCCCTAGATGGCTCCACTGTTGAAACACGGTTCATCATGCACGTTTTCGTACTAAAGCCGTGTTCGTTTTTATGACAGGTTTTGATAATGCCAAACCGCTGTGATCAAGACAAAACATTGAATATACAAGACGAAGAACGAAGATAAGAACAAGAGCTAAACAAAGACCAAGAATGAAGACCGTAGTCTTAGTGTCGTTGAGTCGGTCACAATTGTGATCAAGACCGACCCAACCTTTACACCTTGGCTCTTTAGGCTAAAATCTTTTATTGCATTTCTCATATCATAAAAATGTTTTTCAAACATATTTAAAACATTAAAAATACTTGGTGTTCGCCCAAACCAAAAACCAAGCCATCCGGCGTTCGGCTTTCAAAAACCGGCATTCGGCATTCGGTTATCGGCGTCGGTTTTTGGCATCCGAACCAACCAAATGGTTTTCAACATTTTATGACTGGTTTTTACTTCTTGGCATGTCTAAACAGTTCTCCAACCAAAACAGTTTGAAAACCACCTCTCGTCTTTGGTCGTTTGGCAAAAACCACGTAAAATGGCATAAACTTTGCTAGCTGTGGTTTTTTACTCAAATGATGTGGTTTTTAAAGTGTCTCACTTGATTTCTTAGCCAAATATATCAAATAAGTGTTTTAAACACTTGGTTTTTATTTTGGAGAACTTTGGATTTTTCGGTCGGTTTTTGCATCAGTTGGCTAGGGCGTGGTTGAGGCAAAAACCATGGGTTTTTGACTAACCACCGACCCAGCGATGGGAAGAGTTACCCATCGATGGGTAAGCAGACCTTCAGTCCAACCAAATTCCAGTACCATGCAAAACAACAATGGGGAGTTCTACCCATCGTTGTTCAAGCCTTGGTCCAACATCAACACAAGGCAGAACGACCTTACCCAGTGATGGGGACTTTACCCCATCGATGGGAACCCATTGATGGGAGGGCATAACCATCGCTGGTTAGGCATGACCGTTGGAAGTCATTTAAGGTGACCGTTGGCTTCAAAACTGAAGGAAAATTGGCTTACCAGCGATGGGTAAGTCCTTACATTGCTGGGAAGCCAATATCCTACAGATTCTTATTTTAATCAATCCCATAAATCAAGCCAATCACCCCTTAAATGTTTTGATCCGTTGGAGCCTACTTTGGCACTATAAAAAGGGGTGTTTGGGTCTGCTTTACTCACCAATTCACTTCACAATTCTCATGCTTTCATTGCATTCAAACAATATCTTTTTCATAGCCTTCTAGAGCCAATTCGTGTGAAGTTTGATTTGTTCTTGAGCATACTTAGTTTACTCATTATCTACTCTTAAAGAGAGTCTCGTTCTTGAGTTTATTAGTGTTCTAAGACACGTTGAGAGAAAGTATTTCTCTCATTTGATTCGGAGGAAGAGATGTTTCCTTCGAAGCACTCGTTGAGGTTTGTGTGACTCGAATTCTCAAGTTATAAGGGTTTGTTAAGCGCCGTTAAGCTTAATGAGATAGTAGTGTAGCTCGAGAGAGTCTCTCGGGAGGCTGGATTAGCCACAAGTTATGGTGAACCAGGCTAAATTCGGTGTGCCTCTTACTCTTCTCTTCACTTCTCCTTTAAATTTTTTATTCCTGCAATTTCTACGATCAAACGCTATTCACCCCTCTAGCGTTGATCTTTTATTCTAACAATTGGTATCAGAGCCTAACTCGCGTCCAAACTTAACTGTTTGAGAGTAAAGCAATCATGGGTTCTTCTTCTAGAAATCTTTATGCAGGGATTGGAGAAGGTCAATCAACTTCTAGGCCACCACTCTTTGATGGCACCAACTACACATATTGGAAAGAGCGGATGAGAATTTATATCCGCTCAACCAACTTCCAATTGTGGTTGGTCATCAAGAACGGCGAAGAAACGCCAATGACGAAGCTTGGGGAGAAACTCGTACCAAAAACCGAGGACGAATTTGATGCCGAAGACCTCAAAAAGGTGGAGAACTATGCTAAGGCAATCAACATGCTTTACTGCGCGGTAAGCCCCGATGATTATCGTAAGATCTCTTGCTGCACAACTGCCAAAGAAATGTGGGACAAGCTGGAGGTCACATACGAAGGTACGGACCAAGTTCGAGAAGCCAAAATTGACTTCCTAACGCAGGAGTACGAGATGTTTAGGATGAAGGAAGGTGAAAAGATCGATGACATGTTCAATCGGTTCTCAAAGATCATCAATGACCTTCATGCTCTCAAGAAGACTTACGCCAACAAGGATCTCGTGAGGAAAATCCTGTGGAGTCTCACACCCGAATGGAGATCAAAGGCTGACGCAATCTACAAATCCATCGGAGTCTCCAACGTCACCATCGACGGGTTAGGAGGTAATCTCAAAACTTATGAATCCACTATCCTAACTCCGTCTTTGGATGAACAAAAGAAGAAAGGAATAACGCTAAAAGCAACCAAAGAGACGGTGGAAGAAGTCTCAAGCGATGATGACAACGAGTTTGGACTCGTCATCAAGAAATTCCACAAATTCATGAAGAAGGAATTTGAGTGCAAAGAAAGAAAGCACGACGGTCCCCCGAAGTGCTATGGTTGTGGCGAGATAGGACACATCAAGCCGAGGTGTCCAAAAGGCAAAAACGGCAAGGAAAACCCCGGCTTCAAAAAACAACGAGCCTATATCTCATGGGGTGGCGACTCTGGCGACGAGTCAACTGACCAAGAAGAGGATGAAGCCGCCAACCTCTGTCTCATGGCACACGAAGACCACGCCGACGAAGTACAACAGGTATGTACCACTTCTTCTGACTCTTACAATTTTGAAGAGATGCAAGAAGCACTTCGTGAGCTTTAAGATGAATTTGTTAGCGCTTCTAAAACTAACAAATCATTGAAGAAACGCCTTTCAACTCTTGAAAATGATTTTGAAAAACTAGAAAAAGATAATGAAAAGCTAAAATAAGAAAATAAATTTTATGGAAAAAGAAGCGCTGACAAACCGGAAAGCTCTTCAAGTGAATGTGAATCTTGCGAAACTTTATTTTAGCTCTTCAAGCTAAAATAAGAAAATAAATTTTATTTACTTCCGCTTTTACTCTACATTTATATCACACACGTTTTGGGGTTAACTCCCTAGCATTTATTTCACTAATTAAACCCAACCGTTTTCATAATAAATACACATTAATGGTTTATGTTACGGACGGTTCTCGGACCGCCCATGTAACCCTACTGGTCCGGTGGGTCGCGGGTGAATCGGGTCCACGGAAGGCAGGTGTTACAATTTGGTATTACAGAAGTTTGGTTTTGTGAAAAAAAAGAAACATATTTTTGTTAGAATAAGTGACCAACGCTAGAGGGGGGTGAATAGCATTTGATCATAGAAATCGCAGGAATAAAAATTTAAGAACGTGAAAAGTAAAGAGCGTAGAAAGGGTAAAAGGAAGCACACCAAGATTTATACTGGTTCACCACAACGTGTGGCTAATCCCGTCTCCCGAGAGACTCTCTCGAGCTACACTACTTCCGTTAAGCTTACGGGTGCTTAACAAACCGTTACAACCTGAGAACTCGAGTCCCAGGAGCTTCAATAACACTTGCTCGGAGATACCGCACTCCAAGACTTCAACCCAAAGGAAAAGCACCTTTCCTTCGTACAACCAAGGGAAACAAACTTCCCTTAATGTCTAAGAACACTCAAGACTAAGGCTCTCTCAAAAGAGTGAATATGAGTAAAGTAATACGCTCAAGATCACAACACGAACTTCACAAAAATGACTCTCAAAAAGCTATGAATAATGTATGAATGATATGCAATGAAAGAATGGGAGTTGTGAAGTAATGTGATATGAAAAACAGACCCAAACACCCCATTTTATAGTGGGAAAATAGGCTCCAACGGATCAAAACATTTAAGGGGTGATTTGCACAAATTGTGGGATTTGATTAAATTTGGATCTGCTGAGATTCACCCAGACAGCGCTGTCCTAGGCATGGACATCGCTGGTCTAGGCTTGGGTTTTGAAAATTGGGAAGCAACGGTCATGCCAATAGCGATGTCCAATACTCCTACATCGCTGTTTTGGCTGTTAACTTCCAAACAAGGAAAGTTTTAGCCTTAAATTCCTTCCAACGGTCAGGTCCCTACATCGATGTTCAATACTTGAACATCGCTGTTTAGGTCTGACTTTGAAGGTGGAGTTTTGGCCTGACAGCGTTGTTGCTGGGTCAACATCGCTGTCAAAAAACTTTCTGCCAATGCACTATATTTTTGGCTTAGGTTGGACAGCGCTGTAGGGAAGGCTACAAATGTTTCTGGAAATCCAACCTTGGCTCAATAGCGATGTTTAATATCCAACATCGCTGTTAGAAGACTTAACGCCAAACCATGTTTTTAGCTACCCAAGCCAGACAGTGCTGTTGGTTACACCAACATCGCTGTTGGGCTGGTTTAGCCAGACCCATGGTTGGTTTAGTCATGCCGTTAGCCGATGTCAAAAAAATGTAAGTTCTCCAAAATAAAAACCAAGTATTGAAAATGTTTGTTGATTGCATTTTGCTAAGAAATCAAGTGAAACATCTTAAAAACCATGTCATTTAATTGAAAACCACGGCTAACCAAGTTTGTGCCGTTTCGCATGGTTTTCACTAAACGACCAAAAACGGAGGGTGGTTTTTGAAGCATTTTTGTTGGAGAACTGTTTAAATATGCCCAGAAGTAAAAACCAATCATAAAAAGTTGAAAACCACTTGGTTGGTTCGAACGCCAAAAACCAACAGCGAAAAACCGAAAGCCGAACGCCGGTTTCTGAAAGCCAAACGCCGGATGGCTTGGTTTTTTATTAGGGCGAACTCCAAGTGTTTTTAGGTAGTTTAAAACTTATGAAAAACATTTTTGAGTTTGTAAAAAGAGTTTTGATGAAATGAGCCTAGAGAGCCAAGTTTTGAAAGTTTGTGCCAGTCTTGATCACATTAAGACCGACTCAATACAATTCTAAGTCTTCGTTCTTGATTCATGGTTCTCAAAACATCATGCCATGTTCCTTCGCCTTGGTTTTGCTCACTTTAGCCTTGTTATGTCACGGCGGTTTGGCATTATCAAAACCTGTCATAAAACGAACACAGTTTAGTACGACGTAGGCGTAAACCCGTGTTCCAACAATTTTGTCATCTTGGTCAAAGGGTATTTTCAAAAAGTCCACAATCGCATCTCCCATCACATCAGTTCTAGGGAAAGGTACACCGTTATTTAATTCACTTATATGTCATATTGTAATTAGTTCTGATTTAAGCTCTTCTTATAGAGAATGAGCCAAGCAGTAGGCAACGATGGACAGGCTGTCCCACAGGGGGAGCCTGAGCACGTGAGCACACATCGAAGCGTCATACTAATTGCGTTATACGCTCACTTGTTCCTATTTTTTATACTTTACGGTTGTTAGATGAGTACCATTAGTACTAGAAGCGTGTCAAGCGTTGACTCTAGTCGAACCTTCGTGCTTGGTAAGAGACGAAAGAAAAAGATGCAAAGTTACGATTCGAAAGAGCGTTACCAACGTGCACATCGCAAGGCTCGGATAGCAAGGCTAGGGATTTGGAAACGCCGGAAAGTGGCGTGGGAAAGAGATGATCCAGAGGAAACGTTCAGCATGGACTCTGCCAACAGTATATGCGGCACATGTGTGGATATTCCTTCAGTGGACTCATCCCGACTCGACGAGTGAGTTACGTGCTAACTTATGACAAAGTCGAGGTTGTAATCGATGCAACATTTTGTCCCACTTGTCCCAACCAAATATGTTCCTTGAATGAAATCCGTCAATTGGTCTTTAATCTATTATGCCTTCGTATGCTTCACAAAATAAAGTTTTGGGTAACGCACTATCTCCCTAAACACGTGAGGTGTGACTTGAGGAGAATTTCGAGGACGAAATTCCTTTAAGGGGGGATAATTATTGTAACACCCTACAAACCGGCCTAATAGCTAGCTAATATTTTAAATAAATAAATATTAGTTGTTTATTGAGACTCATTATTTTTAATAATAAATATTGAGATTTCGATCTCTTTAAATGGATTTCCAAAGCTAATGTATTTTAATATAAAAAGATGTTTTAATAACGACCTCTCAACATTAATTAAATAAATTAATTAATGATTGGGGTGGCCCCAGAAGTTTGAAAATAAAGTTCTTAGAAAAATTATTTGAACATGTCATTAAATTCGTTTTGATTGTCTGATTCTGGAAACACAAAAAGATCTCATTTCGGACCCGTTTGGGAAAAAAACGCGTATCGTTCAGGTCAGATTTTTACATAACAGAATAGAATTTATGGGAAGTAACTCCCATTCCACACGCCACACCACACCACCCATTCATTTTTCATTTACTTATCAACTTTAATTCATCATTATTCCCCCATTAATTCTCCACAATTCCCATTCAATATATAATAGCCTCTCCCCTCTTCACTTTCCACCACATTTGTAACCCCCAAATATTCACACACTCACTTCCTCTTCCTCCATTGCATTCGGCCCACCCATAGTAGCAGCCAGGCGTGGTGGTTTCAAGCGAGGAAGTGAAGAAGAAGAAGGGAAGAAGGTCTACGTGTGAGGCTGTTCGTTGTCCATCGTTCGTCCGATCGTTAGCGCCGTTCGTTCATCTCGTTTAATTAATCCGCCAACCCCTACGTTTAGAGGTAGACAAGATGGTACGGGTGCTAATCCTTGAGAGCAGTGATGATGGGAGGATGGGCGGCGCACGAACGAGTTCAATATTTAAATATAATAAATCATTTGGGCATGAACCCACCATATGTCGTTTTACTTATTTTGGACTTATTTATTTACTTCCGCTTTTACTATGCATTTATATCACATACGTTTTGGGGTTAACTGCCTAGCATTTATTTCACTAATTAAACCCAACCGTTTTCATAATAAATACACATTAATGGTTTACGTTACGGACAGTTCTCGGACCGCCCATGTAACCCTACCGGTCTGTTGGGTCGCGGGTGAACCGGGTCCACGTAAGGCGGGTGTTACAACTTAGACAAAAACCTAGGAATGAAAATGTGCATGTTAGAAAACCTAGGAAAAATTATCAAAATGAATTTGTGCATAAAAATAATTTTTCAAATAGACAAAATAATGCTAGGACACCTAGAAGAGAGAATTTTCAAAAACCAATGTTTGCTCAAAATAGGATGAATATGGTTTGGCCCCCTAGCAACTATTATAACCTAGGAGGATGCACAACCCAAACGTACACTACTACAGAATGACTTTTTAACCGCGCCGAATAGACAGCGGATAAGTGAGAACCGCTGGCTATTATTCAGGGAAAAAAATACTCTCCTTTTAAAAAACTCGCCAATTTAATAAGAGGATTAAGAGTATACATTTAGCAGCGGGTAAAAAAAGGGCCGCTGCCTTTTCCGATGGACTTCTCAAATTAAATACGGAGTAGAACTTATTGTAGAACCAGATCCAGATCTGCCCCATCTTCGATGCCCCTCTCGGCCTCTCCCCAATCTCCATTAATCGACGCCACCTTCCCCCCTCTTCCCTTGTAATTGACGCCATCTCCCCCATCTTCGACACCATCTCCGCTGGAACGAGGTACGTAGTCTGGGAATACTGCACCTAGATCCTCTCTTTGGCTTCCATCTTAGATTTTGTTGTTTATTTCTTGAAATTTTCGGAGCTTTGTAATCGTCTTCAGCAAAAGATTCCATTGCCGAGTTCAATTGCTGGTTTGGGCCTGGACTGTGCGTGAATTGAAGGCAAGTTCTTCGTTGTTACTGTTTATCTCGCGAATAATAGAATTTACTTTACCCCTATTTCAAGCTCAATTGAAGCCCAATTTGTGGAGGATTATGAGCGAAATATAACCTTTAGAGGACTAAAATGAGGTAAAGTTGATTCAATTGAACTGTTTTGTATTGAGAGCAATTGTCTAAATTCTTATTGATAACGATTGTCACTTGTGTCCTTAAGGTGTTTGTCTATATGCATTGAGAAACACAACAGATGGCTTAGCTGCTAGCTTATCCACAACATATTATGAGTATTCAATTTAAATTCTAATGCCCATTAATTTTGGTTCCTATTATTTTTGTTTGCAGGGACTATGGGATACAAGTTTACTTAGGTAAGTGAATGGTTTCGTTGTATGTTGTGTGGAGTTGTTGAATACGCTACTTCTGCATTTTTACTAATTCATTCTTATTTTGGAATTTAAATTTGAATTCATAAGAGGATTTGATACTGCACATGCTGCTAGGTAATTAATCTCTTAATAGGCTCTTACTTCATATTTATTTTTTGGTTCAAAACTATTGAGAATTTAATAATGGTAGTTGGAGTTCACTTGAAGAGTCTCTATTAATGTTAGGACATATGACCGTGCTGCAACTAAATTTTATGGGCTAGACGTTGATATCAATTCCAATGTAAGTGATTATGAAGAAGATCTCTAGCAGGTTGAATAGTGTTATTGGAATGAATCTGATATTCCATCACATCATTATCATTTTATTTTTTTGTGTGAATTCTAACCAAATGAATAATTTCACAAAGAAAGAGGGTGCAAATACCCCGTCGTGAGAGCATTGGGGTTTTTAGAGGGAGTTCAAGGCATAGAGGAGTTACATTGCACAAATGTGGGTGATGGGAGGCTAGAAGGGAGAAATTCCTTGGCAAGAAGTAGATGCTATTTCCATCACTGTTTGGGAAAAATGGACATCCTTCATTGTCTATCTTTCCACCTTTCTTCCATGAAATAGTTCAATTAAATAGACTTTACCTCGTTTCAAGCTCAATTAAACTATTACTTCGCATTAAAAGAAATATTAGTTCTAACTTGTTCTTTAAACGAATACTATGTATTAAGTATATATCTATGATGCAGGTCTGAAGTGTATGAGAATGGTGCAAATTAGTCCCCTAAATAGTACATGGGAACAATGTTCGAAAAGGCGGAACGGAAACCCGCCTCAAGGCGCGACTCGTAACTTTTTCCGGAAATTACGCACTGGAGCTAATCCCGTTTTCACGCTATAGGTTTTTTTACGCTATTCTGTGAAAGGCGTACGCCATGGGGCGTACGCGCCAGTGCGCGCAATAAGGCTTACGCAATTCCAGGATTAGAAATTGGAAATTAAACGATTAAAATTTTGGGTATTGAAGGTTAAAGTTGTCAATTACTCCAATTAATTAACCCAATTAAGTGTATATATCCTAAAATTACCCAAAATTAGTGTCGATTACCCTAATCTTTGTCGATTACCTTTTGGCGAGCTACGAACCGTCTCCAGCCGTCCAGCGTCGGCCGTCTTCAGTCTTCTTCTCCGGCGAAAAGGTATGTTTCTTTGGTCTGCGTCTCTGCTCTTTCTTTCCAGCTGCGTTTTATGTCTGCTTTGGGTAAATGTTCTGCGTTTTATCTCTGCTTTTTATGTCTGCTCTTTCTTTCTTTCCAGCACATCCAACTTTGCCTTTTTCTCTTTTTACAATTGTCAAGTGGTACTATTTTTTCTTTTTCTTATTTATTTTGGTAATCTTTTTGTGAAGTACACTAGCATTCAATTGATGTTTTTTATGAATTTATGATTGGTATTTTTTCAAGTAGTTGGATGAGATGATTTTTTTACTTGTTAATATCCTCTTTTTTTTCTTCTTTTTTTGATTATTGATGTGCTAATTATTATTTTTTTTTGTTTTTAAGATGAATTATTGCATAGTATTGTATTGTTTATTTTGTTGTTTCAGAAATTAGAATATTGCTTAAATGTTGGACCCAGCATGGAAGTATAGTGTTGACTCAACACCCAATATTGAAGGACAAAAAAAAAACTACAAATATGTAAACTGCAATTTTATGTTTGCGATGTATTGCTTTGACAATATACTCTTTTCATGTTTTTGGATTATTTATGTTATACATTACTCCCTCCGTCCATAATTAAAGTTCCCACTTTCCTTTTCGGTCCGTCCATAAATAATGTTCCCATTTCCTTTTTTAGTAAGTTTTCTTTGTTAAAATGACTTAAATGCCCTTCCTATTTTTTTTTTCTCTTTCCTTCCTGCGGCAGCCCCCCCCCCCTTCCCTTTCTTTTTCTTCTCCTTTCCTTTTCTTTTCTGTCCTTTCTTCTTCTTCTCCAGAAACTTCCCATTCCATCTCTCCTTTTTCTTCCTTCTTCCGATTTCTCCTCTCCTCCTCTATTTCTTTTGTTCTTATTTCCTTCTTCTTCCTCTCTCTTTTCTTCTCCCCCTCCCTCTTCCGATTCCACCAACCTTTTTTCCTTCTCATTTCCAACCTTATCATCACCGGAAGGCTCTTCTTCGACTTCAACTTTTTTATATCTCCGGCGTTGAGCGTCTGCCTGGATCTGGCGATGGTGGATTTCAGAACTGTAGTATTTTTGGTGCCGTGTTCGAATCCCCGAATAGATCCAGATCCGAGATCTACTACGTCGGAGAATGCGGAAATTGCGACCGGATCGTAGACGTAGACGACCTTTTTGTTGGGATTGCGGGCCGAAATCGAGATCTCGAGCTTCGAGGAGAGCGCGGTGGAGGTGAGGTTGAACTGCGAGAGGCGGAGCGTGTTCACGGCAAACGTGGGGCGTTGGGGGCGGTACAGGACCCGAAACGCAGCGGCGGCGATGGCGGCGAGAAGAAGGAGCATGGCGATGAGGAAAGTGGTCCAGAGACAGCAGCGGCAGCAGCAGCCGCGCTTGTGGCGGCGGAGCTGGTGTTGCGGGCGGTACACTGGAATTTTGGACAGGGATGCAGGATACGAATGGGTGGGAAGTGGGGTAAGGTGGAGGGTATTTTGGGAAAGTCAAGGAAATTTTTACATTTTCTTAAAGTGCGTGCCCGGTCAAACTGGGAACTTTAATTATGGACGGAGGGAGTATGTTCTATCTTTGGTTTTAAATTATTTTGTGAATGTTTTTCAATTTAAAAATTGAGGCTTACGCCTCAAAACGCCTCAAGGCTTACGCCTTACGCCATGAAATGAAAACGCCTCAAAACCGCAATATGCCTTTTCGAACATTGCATGGGAAAGGTTCTCCCATTGAATAGACTTATCCCTACAGTCTTGAAGATCTCTACAAGGGTACCACTAAGAAGAGGAAGATTTCTAGAGAGATTGCTGATTTTAGTGGGTACATATACTCTGTCATTCTTAGAATAAGGTTTTATTCTATGTTTTCACTGTGGACACGTGTATCTCCTTACATAAAATGGTCATTCATTGGCATTCATGGCCCATCATTATCCTATTTTTAAAATCTGTGCATTGAGAAATGTGAAGGAGATGATTCACGGGCAATATCTAAGGCATCACAAATTTTGGGAAACTATTTTCATGAGAATGACTTGAAGACAAGGGGCAATATTCTGTTCAAAAATTCATCTAACTAATACTCCGTATATTAAAATGCTTGATTTGTCAATTGTCTTTTGAAATATTTTGGTAGATATCTCATCACATTTTACCTCATTTTGTAGATGTTTGTACGGCAAGATGGGGCTGATTTTCAAGGTCTTAAAGAGATATAAAATCAGGATTTGGAGCTCTTATTATCAATTTGAGGATGACATGTGCAAGAGTTAACTCTTTGTTTGGAATGTAATACTCTTTATGGATGTTTTTTTGGTAGTACTAAGTAGAACCTAACATGCACTTTGTCATGCATGCTTTTTAGTTGGCAAGTTTTAGTCCAACTTAAATTGATAATGAAACTTTTTGTAGGTAAAGAGTAACATTTTTATAGAAAGTATATTGTGGATGTTAAAGTTTAATGGATGTTGTGTGTTGGATGTTAATTTATACGTAAGATGTAAATGCAAAATGTGTGTATAACAAATGTGCAGAACAAAAAAAGAGTATTGTTACACATCGAATGAATAATTGTAGTATAGTAGTGTTTTTAAAGCATTAATTGATAGGGGATAAATATCGGATGTGTAAATAATACCACAACGGATATATATCGGTTGTGTAAATAATACCACAGCGGGTATATATCTGGTGTATATGCTCTAGTGAATTTTTGTTACTTTTACACAGCGGATAAATATCCGTTGTGTAAAGTATACCGTTACATTTCATAGCGGCTAAACATCCGCTGTCTAAACATGGTACCTATTGCACCGGTCACATAGACAGCGGTTGATATGCGCTGGGAAACATCAAATTTATCCGCTGTGTAATCCATATCTTGTGTAGTGGTAGTTTGCCATTATTGCAATAGGGTAGGACATATAGCTATTGTTTGCTTTACTAGCACTACGTCAAAAACAGTATCAGACGATTATTGTCTAACTACTGTCTATGGAAACACAGTAGTTAAAAAAAAATAGACTACTGTCTAGCTAGTATGCTTTAAAACTGTTTTTTAAGTTTCGAGAAACGGTAATCTATCACTAGTTGTCTGTGTCACTTCAAAATACAGTTTTTGTTGCAATAGTTGTCAATAACAAGTTAAGAATACTCTATTTAAACAGTAGTATGATGTTTTAGTCTAGAACTGTTTTTAAACTTATTAGAAATAGTTATCTATTGCTAGTTGTCTGTTTCATATGATTTTTTTGCCACCGTTGTTTCTAATGGGAATAAAAGACTCTTTTATAACAATAGTCTATGAATTAAGGGTAGAACTGTTTTTAAAGTTGTGAGAAACGGTAATCTTATATTAGTAGTCCATTTCACCTAAAAATAAAGTTTTTGTTGCCGCCACAGTTGTAAATAATTAGTTAAGACTACTATTTCTAAACAGTAGTCTGGTTTTTCATTTTATAACTGTTTTTAAATCAGAGAAATGCTTGGGCTATTACTCGGTTTGAAAAGCAATGAAAAATTTCCATCTCATATGGGTCAAATAGGTGGGGAAGTTTTATCAGAATTCTTGAGTGTAGGGTAGAAGGGAACACCTCTATTTTTATCCCGCTGAATAGAGGAGGTTCGATTTCTTTCTATAATGCTCTCCTACGGAAGAAACCCTTCTGATTCCGGGGGTAATAATGCCTAAGATATAGATCACGTATGTTTGAACGTCACCAAGTACTCGAATCACAAGGACCGAGAAGTTTGTAGAGACCAAGACGTGTCGGAAGTTTAAACCTATGGTTTCGAAAGAAACCTTGAGTACAAAATGCTGAGTTACCCGAAGACAAGGCTCCTGCTAGGATTGGTTTTAGTCGAGGGGCAGGGGGGAAGCTCAGCCAGTGGGCTCAAAAAATACTATAGGGATTTTAGCTCCTCAAAGCAATGAAGAACATGGGATAAAGAATGTAGACATACTGCCTAAAGACTCGGTCCCAAGTGTTATAAATACTGAACATCATACCACTCCTGGGGGTTGAACTCGGAAGTTGAGTCCATCAAAGCATGTCTCTTAAACTATGAAGAGCAAATGATAATCGAAGGGTTGTTTAAGCAAACACGGGAAGGGGAAGTTTCAAGAATGGATGATCCTATTCATTCTGAACTTAAGCTTATGATCATCGATGCTAATATGGAAGAACCAGCAAGTGGAGATCTCCAAAAGGAGTTTGAGATATTAAAGCCTATATTTGAGCAACATATTAGCGATGACTTTGAGCAATCTCTATGGATGATTAAGGAGTCATTGTGTTCACCTTTCATCAAAGAAAAAATTCGGAAGGGTCTTGTTCAAACTCTTCAGGTCAAGGCAATAAAAGCTACAAGGGAAAGTATGAAGAGCGCACAATGCATTAGGGCAATCAAGATAAAAGTTACGCGACATCCAGTCCTACTATCATGTGCCAATATTGACGAGCCTATCATTACGTCTTTGTGTGAACATCTCATCGACTATGAATGAAGCAGATGACTTTTGGGGACTGTTAGACTATTTGTTTACTACCGGTAGATGATGGACACCTTGAGATCCTACTGGTCGTCTTTGTTTTTGGGCACTAGTTTATTAGATTTTAAGAGATGCAACTCTATACTGTAGATGGAATCTCTCGTATATTATCTACTGCCCTATATTATCATGAGCCCATTGACCTGCAAGGATTAGCTAGCAGTGGTATGAGGACTCACTGGTTTACCTCCCTTTTTGATGTTGATTTATGGCCATGTTTACTTCTGCAGCTTAAACTGCTTACTTTAAATATTCTCATGGTCCTCTACTACTTGGAACAAGACATGGAACATCTATCCATATGCAAAAATTTGATTCCCTGCAGTAGCTCTAATGAGGACCACCACGTTGGGTTGAGTAATTTGAATTCATATGGTGAATTTTTGAGTGATGGCAGACACACGATAAAAGAATATTTCTTTAGTCATATGGCGACAACAAGGGACTTAACAAAGCTTTGGGACCTCTTTTAGTTGTTTATTTGTGTTGGTCAATTTTCAATCTTTGGACTGTTATATATTTAGGCCTTGTAGGGGTCCGGCCAACCCCCTCCTTTGTACTTTTTTCTCTTTCTTTCAATAATAATAATAATTATAAAATAATATATATATATATATATATATATATATATATATATATATATATATATATATATATATATGATTATGAACTCACATTTTATTAAAATAAAGATCAACAAAATATATTTTATTAGAACAAAGAACAACGAAATACATGAGGGGAGGACCAAACCGAAGCCCCTCTAGAAAATGAGATCCAAACACTAAAACTAGGAACATCCAAAAGCCATGGAATCAACCAACAAAGCCAAGACATTTTATAACAAGTAGTCTTTTTTATTCCACCTAACATATATGATATACCAAACTCTAAAACAACCCCTAACTACTGGCAGTGGAATAATAGCTATAAGCAAACACTAAAGACTTTTAACACAGCCCCTAATAGTGCAAGAACAACCATCTCCTATTATATTCATCTAAGAATAAACCTTTAGAACTCAAAGAAATCAGCATAAAGAAACTAACTTCCGTGTGTGCTACTACCTTAGACCAATTGAACTCCATAGCCAGTGATTCCAAAGCCTAACAGCCAAAGACAAATCTGCAATCGTATAGGTCTTCCAAATTTTCAGATGATTTTTTTTCTTTTGGCTATTAATAGTGAAGTAGCACCAAACTCCATCAGCACCCTTTCACAAATTTAAAATGCAGGAGCTCTAATCCTTTACCTGCAGCAAGCCATTAGGCAAAGCCAAACACTATATCTAAATAACAAAAGCCACGACCCACAAGCTTACACTCAATCAGCAAAAACCCAACTTAGAAACCAAAGTCTAAGTTGCAAATCCAAAGGCAACATTCAATCATTTTCCAAATATACAAACTAAGATCTGATATGATGCATTTAAGGATTAGATCAGACAAATATGACACGACCTATACAATTAAAATTGATTTTTTTAATATTTGATTTGATCTTACTGGATTTGAATTTGATTTGATTCGATGTTTTTTTGAAGATTATATCTGATCTTATTGGATTTGAATTTAATTTGAATTCAATCTAATTTGATCTGATCTTATGCATTTATAGATTAAATCAGGCAAACAAGACACGACCTATATAATTAATTTGATTTAATCTTATTTGATGAGATATAGTTTGACTAGATATCATCTAAACAACATGTAAACATGTTAAACTGAGATGCAGTGATTTGATTTGGTATAACCTTATATGTCTGTGTTTTTTTGAAATACAATAATCTTTTAGAAATAATAATTTTTTGAAAGTATTTTATAAAATAAATATAAAATTATTTGGTAACAATATCTAAAGTCAATTTTATTTTAGTGGTCTAAGTTTATAAATTTTGTTGTAAAATTCAAAACTAGATGAAAGAAAGAAAAACAAAAAAAAAAAGAACAACAAAAAATAAAAAAGTAAAAAAACTTAAAAAATTAAAAAGTAAAATTGCTATTCACGCCCAACCAAATCGTGAGACTATTCACGCCTAACCAAATCCGATTCTTGCTAAATTTGTAACGTTCTAGAAACCGGCATAGAAATTAATGAATAATTAAATAAATAAGAATTATTTATTACGACAATCTATTCTTTTAAAGAATTAAAAGATATTTTTGAGATCCTAATCGTCTCAATATAACGTAACTAATTTGATTGTATTTATAAAGATTTAAAGTAAAAGACTACTCGGTACTAACTAATCGAGAGAATTAAGATGGACTAGGTGGAACCTATATATGCTTGTTGAATGATTATAAAAGTTATACTATTGGGTAGGGATCGACGAATCGAATCCAACGATGCAAACAGATCTCAATTCAGAGCAAGTTGGCCCGAAAAGTGTGTTTTACTCAGACAAATTATTTTAAATTAAGGAGAGCAAAAACCCTAGGCATATATATACTCTTTACACGCATTAGTTTTGGGCCTCCTTCCCCGATCGAGACACGCCGCCACTAGACCTTCCTTCTCCAACAAACTCCTATCACCGTCCCCCGCCACCACGACATCGCCGACGGCCCCCTTTGCATCTGCGACCAACGATGACGCAAGCAACACGGACAGAGGCAACGAATTGGATGAGGGCAGCAGCCTCCGGCGACTCCCTCTGTTCCGGCGAAGTCCAGCAGCGACGGGGAAGGGCGATGTCGCGAGGCCAGTCGACGGCAACAATTGGTCAGCGGCGGGCGACCTCCATCTTTGGCGGAGAATTTCCGATCAGACACAGGGGTGGTGGTGGTGATCTCCACCGGCGACGAGGGTAGCAGCGGCGAGAGGGGGGGAGGAGTGGCCTCCATCTTTTCCGGCGAAACAGTGGGGAGTCCAGCGAGACTCCTCTGCTCCGGCAAAAATAGCAGCGACGGCGTCTAGACGGCAGGCCGGCGACGGCGTCTGGGCAGCGACTCCGGCGATTCTGCTATGGTGGTGACCGGGTGTTGGCCGTGAACTGAACCAGCGGGGCCGACGAACCCCGAGTATCGTTTTGAGTATAATTTCCATGCTTTCAAGCCCTAATGATGAGTCCCCTGCCAATGTGGAAGCTGCTGTAAGTGTTATTATACCTTCCTTAATATTTTTTTCCAATAATTTTCTTTATGTGAATCAGTTATATATTGCAATAGCTTTGAGTATATAAAAAAGGTTTCTAAGTGTAGCAAGGTTCGTAACGGCTTTGAAGTTCTTTTGTAACCTTTTTTTGTAGACAAACGAGCAGAGATGTTTTAATCCGGGCAGCAACGCGCTTGGCTTCGGGCAGCAGGCGGGGTTACTTCGACGATGGAATTTGAAAATGTTCTTTTGAATTGAATCGATGAATCGAGGTGAGTACGTGGACATCTAATACTAGAATATGCATCTACGTTTGAAATTTCATTCATAATTGTTATCTTGGTGATCATTGTGATTTATGTGTACAATTCTTGATTGTGGTTTTGGGAATTGTGTCGTTAAATCAAAAAAAAGTAGTATGCATGAATTAGGCATTGATTGATGGATTAATGTGCATGATAATGTTTAGAATGGTAATATGACCAATTGGTGTTGTTATGAGATTATTGTTGGTTAGATGTTGAAAAATGAAATTAGTGCAAAACCGAGCACTATGGGATTATTGATACTTCAAAACTGAGCTACGTGTCATATTTTAGGAAGTATGTTTTGGCTTTAACTTTTGTATTCTTATATGGTAAAACTCTTATACGGAGTAATTCATAAAATGGCATTACTTCTTGAAGGGCTTGCTAAAGTTGGTTACCCCTTAATTAAAAAAAAAATTTAAAATGATTTTCAGTGCCAGGAGCAGAGAGGTGCTGTCAATGGGATTTCAATGCCTGCAATGTCTCTTTTCAAAACAATTGGCCCAGCAGTTAGGGGATCCATGTGAGTTTTTTCTTTTCTTTCCTTGGTTAAGTTAATCTTTTGGTGATTCAATTCACTATATGCTTCGCTTGCAGATTATCATGGTCACAACGGCGTCAAGAATTGAAGGTCTAGATTCCCCTGATTCAATGTTCGATGTTATTGAGGAGACAAATAATTAAATTAGGCGTGGTCAATGGACAATTACAATGTGCTTTTTTAAATTATGTAAATATTAAATTATTGGATGCTAAGATTTTGGATTGTATGTATTTAGATATTATTCAATATATTGTACATTTTGGAATTTATTTTTGTCAATATTTTAGAATTGAAATCAATTTCAATTATTAAATATAATTGTAAATTGAAATATAGTAGTCTTTCAAAAATCTTTACAATGTATTTAAACAGTTTTCTAAATCTTTAAAGGATGACTACACAAACTTGTATTGTTAATAAATGTTAGGCAATTTAAAAAAACAATTGTATGAAATACAATAAATAAGGTTATTTATATTTTACAAATATAACACATAATAGCAGTTGTTTTATGCAAACATACTTAGTGTTCTTTGGTGCAGTAGTCTGATTTATAATCTGACTAGTGTGTAAAAAGATAGTTTGAATATTTCAAGAACAACTACAAAAAAGCGTAGTGTTATTAAACACTATACAATTGAAAGAAACGGTTGTTTAAAATACAACAAAATTAGTAGTCCATATTCTTGAAACACAACAAAAGATAACTGTTGTCTGATGCTATTTTTATTTAGTAGTCTTTCGAGCAGCAGTCTGATAAATATTTCAATTACTTTTTAAAGTAGATGTCTATATTGTTGAACGACAACACCAAGAATTAGGAGTTTGAAGTTAAAAACAACAGTAGTATTCATTATAGATAAACAAAAAATCACAGTTCTCTTTAACTCTAACAAACAGATGTCTTACTCATACGGGGACAACACTAAAATGCGGTACTCTAAAACATTACAAAACAGCTGTCGTCAACCATTTTACACAATTGTTTTTAAACAATAGTCTGTAGATATATCAGACAGCTGCTCGGTAGACTACTGAAATCAGCACCGAGAGACTACTAAAAGAAATAGTTGTCAGCATGTATTTTTGACGTAGTGTAGGCATAGGCATTGGGCACAAAATGAATCACACTACCACTTTGCACCTAACACTCAAGGACCCAAAAAGACTTGGGTAACTAAATCTTATTAAATCATTCTTGTAGGTGTGCTTGAAGGCGTCAAGTGTACTTTGGTACCTTGATAGCGGATGCTCCAAGCACATGACCGGAGATACATCCAAGTTCTTACAAATCAAACCCGCTAAAGGAGGAAATAGTAGTCTCTTGGAGATAATAACAAGGGATAGATTATCGGCATCGGTTCGGTAGGTAAGTCCGAAGACTCCTCTATATATAATGTCTTGCTAGTTAAGGGTCTTAAACACAATCTCTTGAGCATAAGTCAATTATGTGACAAGGGATACCGTGTGACCTTCGATTCAAAATAATGCACAGTAGAACGCCATAAGGTCATTCTACGTGGTGATAGAATCGATAATATATATATGGTTAACTTAGACAAATCTCCTTCCGGCTTTGCTAAGTGCCTCATGAGTAAAGAGGAAGACACTTGGTTATGGCACCTAAGGGTAGCTCATATGAGCATGAACTTTTTGAACAAATTGGTTTCACAAGACTTAGTAATTGGCATTCCAAAACTCAAGTTTGAAAAAGACACCATATGTGATGCATGTCAAAAGGGGAAGCAAGTTCAGGCTTCGTTTAAGTCTAAGAACATTGTTTCAACGTCTAGACCGCTTCAACTTTTGCACATGTATCTATTTGGTCCTTCTAAAACAAAAAGTTTTGGTGGTAATTACTTTGTGTTTGTGATTGTCGATGACTACTCTAGGTTTACATGGACCTTGTTTCTAACTCACAAAAAAGAGGCATTTCACGTTTTCAAAAATTTTCTAAAGAAAGTTCAAAATGAAAAAGAAACAACCATAGTAGCCATAAGAAGCGACCATGGGGGAGAGTTCGAACAAAATCTATTCTCATATTTATGTGACAAACTCGGCATTGGTCATAATTTCTCAGCCCCATATACACCACAACAAAATGGAGTGGTGGAACTTAAAAATAGATGTCTCGAAGAGATGGCTAGAACTATGATCAATGAGGCAAAAATCCCTAAGGCCTTGTTTGGTACACGGAATTCAAACTATATATGGAATTGGAATTAAGGACTTCAATTCCAATTCTACTGTTTGGTAGCATAAAAATTATGTAAATTTGGAATTGATAGTGCAAAAAATGAATTGGAATTGGCGAATTCAATTCTATGGAATTAAATCTCATGAAATTTCAATTCCAATTCAATTTCAATTCCATCAATTACGTATACCAAAAGGACCCTAAGTATTTTTGGGCGGATGTTGTGAGTACCGCGAGCTACGTGTTAAACCGAGCCGTCATTCAACCGATACTATTAAAACGCCTTATGAACTATACAAAGGGAGAAAGCCAAACCTTTCCCATCTTCGAGTCTTTGGTTGCAAATGTTTTATTCATAACAATGGCAAAGATAACTTAGGCAAATTTGATGCCAAGTCGGATGAAGGAATTTTTCTAGGTTACTCATTACGTAGCAAGGCCTATATTTAATAAACTTACCTTGACTATTGAGGAGTCCCCTTTACGTTGTATTTTCCGAAGATAACCCTCGCTTGGGGAGAAAGGATATTTGTGATGATCTTGCAGATTCACTTGAAAGAATTCACGTCGAAGACGATGAAGAAAACACGGAAATATACACCAACACGCAGGTAATCGGTAGCATCAACTGAGGGGTAAGTACTCGAAACTCACTTAGGGACACCGTAGGACACATGGCTTTTGTTTCTCAAATTGAACCTACAACCATTTCCGATGCAATAAACGATGAAAATTGGACCTTGGCTATGCAAGAGGAGCTAAACCAATTCAAACGGAATGATGTTTGGGAATTGGTGCCAAGGCCCGATGATCGTACGATTATTGGTACGAAATGGGTGTTTCGTAACAAACTTGATGAAAATGGAATAATCACTTGAAACAAAGCTAGGCTCGTAGCTAAAGGATACAATCAAGAAGAAGGCATTGATTTTGAAGAAACCTATGCACTCTTAGCACGCTTAGAATCTATTCGTTACTTCTTGCTTTTGCTTCGTCTATGGATTTTAAACTCTATCAAATGGATGTTAAGAGTGCCTTCCTCAATGGTTTTATTCAAGAGGAAGTGTATGTTGACCAGCCCCCGGGGTTTGAAGACTTTGAGTATCCCGACCATGTCTTCAAACTCAAGAAAGCACTCTACGGTCTTAAACAAGCACCCCGTGCTTGGTACGAACGTTTGAGTAAATTTTTTTTGCACAGTGGTTTCCAAAGGGGAAAGGTCGACACTACACTTTTTATCAAGAGTAAAAACAACAACATCCTTTTGGTTCAAGTTTATGTAGACGATATTATATTCGGTGCTACTAACGAGTCTTTGTGCAAGGAATTCTCCAAGTTAATGACAAGTGAATTCGAAATGTCAATGGTGGGGGAGCTCACGTTCTTTTTGGGACTTCAAGTGAAGTAAATGAGAGATGGAACATTCATTTTCCAAACTAAATATTGCAAAGAACTCCTAAAACGGTTCGAAATGGACAACGTCAAAGCCAGGGCGACCACGAAGAGCACATCTGACCATCTTGACAAAGACGAGAAAGGTAAGGAAGTAGAAGTAAAAAATATCGAGGTATGATCGGATCCCTTCTCTATCTTACCACTAGTAGGCCAGATATCATGTTTAGCGTATGCCTTTGCGCAAGGTATCAATCATGTTCGAAGGAATCGCACTTAACGGTTGTGAAACGGATCATGTAATACCTTGATGGCATGGTTAATGTTGGACTGTGGTATCCAAAAGGCTCTTCATGTCATATCGTTGGTTATTCCAACTCAGACTTTGCCGGTTGCAAGTTGGACCGTAAAAGAACGAGTGGGACTTGCCACTTACTTGGTAGCTCTTTAGTTTCATGGTTCAGTAAAAAACATGTCAGTGTTGCGTTATCCACAACCGAAGCGGAATATGTTGCCGCCAGTAGCTGCTGTGCTCAAATCCTTTGGATGAAGCAACAACTCGTGGACTATGGCCTTAGTATCAGTCACATTCCACTTCGTTGTGATAATACTAGCGCCATAAGCTTGACGAAGAACCCCGTTCTTCACACAAGGATGAAACACATTGACATTATGTTAGATATCCGGGAGCGTCAACGAAGACTTTCCTTAGTCCACAAAAGGAAAAACAAATCAGGAGAATGAAGCCAATGTGCGGTGACTTTAATTGGGTTGAATTCATTCCTTTTTCCTATCTTGAAGCCCAAACCAACACTATTGTTGTCCTACATCCCACTTAGGCCGAACCATCTAAACCCCAAACCATCCCTAAACATTCAAACCGCCTTGTCTTTTATTCCCTTTCAAATAAAGTCTTCCTCCACTTATTTTAAGTCCCTTGACCGAAAATAAGAAGAAGACAAACCAAAAACCTTTTTTTGTTGTTCTTAAATTTTAAGTAATCGATCAAATAACACACTTCCCCTCCTCTTCCTACATTATGGACGAAAGGTTCATCTCCCTAATCCCCCCATTATCTCTTCAATGAAATAATGTATAATTGGCCAAAATTAATGTCAAACCATAAACCAAATCAGGCCCTTCCTTGTCACCTCATTTGGCCTAATTATAGGCCCCAAAACATTCCCCGTTTTATTCACCACCATAACCACCAAATGTGCTTCCTTGTGCTCCCCACTTTGGCCAAACAAACACCC